ACAAAACATAGAGAGGAAAACAAGAAGAAAAGGGACAAGAAGAGAGGGACACAACCTAGAACAGATAATGGATGTCTATTCTATTAACATTTCTTCTCAGTTCAAAGCGCTCCATGCCTGTCTTTGGCTAGGCCCCAAATTTCCTAAATCTGCCCCTAACTCAGAGTGATGTTGTCACCAGACACGCAGTGGACAGACCAGCTTTTTCTGCCAGTGGGATGGGAGCCAAATGCTGGTTGTTAGCAGGTCGAGCCACTGCTGAAAAATATGCCATAAACTGATAATTTCATGGAGAAAGAGGCTTAATTGTGTGATTTTTTAAATTCCTTTATTTATGGCTGTTTTATTTAGTGTTGATGGTTCAATGTTGACGTATCGTTGCATCTAGTCTTTGGTTTGCATCACTTCCTGCTGGGTTTACGGTGCTCTGTCCTCCTCAGAGTTACTGACAACGCTGTTCATAGCTAAAAGAATGAGCTCATAGTTCAGTTCACACCGATGAAAATGAAGTAGCTCACATTTATTTGGTAGATGAACTTGTTAGTGAGGGACAACATGGAGAAAGTCTGACCTGAACAGCAGACGGATTTGGAGAGTCGGACTCTCCGGCTACATTTCCATTCTCCTTCCTCTTCCTGAACTTCCTAAAGTAATCCTGGATGAGGAAAGTGGCATAAAACTTCCCGACGGTGACCTCCTCCTCTGCAGACGGAGAGAACAAAGGTTGAGTCTTCAGAGCCGCGAACAGAGACTGAGGTTCCTACAGGGGGGTGTCTCTACCTTCATGTGGAGGAATGACTTCATCCAGCAGCTTCGGCTTCATCCTCTTCCAGATCTTCTTGATGATCGCCCTCAGCTCCTCGTTCTCTTGGTCAGGATTACCTGGAGCAGCATCCAAAGGGGGCGGAGTCAAAGACAGGCTATAAGTTTACATCTTAACCCTTTATAAGGCACTCAGTGAAATTCTCCTTCTAACCCTCCATTTGTAAGGGGCATGCAAGGGATCAAAAATACTAACTTGCCTTATCGGTATTTATACATTTTCATTTATTTATTCTTATTTCACTCCATTTGAACTGCTGATTAATTTACCAACTATATCTATATTTGTATGTTACTCATTTTTAATCATGTATCCTGCTTTACTCCAAAGTTTAGCCTGATGCTCATATTTTAAAAGTTGTTTTAATTATATTGTAAGTAAAAAAAACAGCAGACTAAATGTGGGCTTGTATGTATATATCTATGTAAGTTGTAAAAATTGAAATAAAGTAAAGTAAGTAAAAAAAAAAGTGGGTCTGCCTTTCTGGTTCAGACTGGACTGGTTTGAATCCCACTGAAGGACAGGGAATGTGTGTTAGAAGGTAGCTTTACATTAGACACCACAAAAATCATGTGTGGCGTTCCCCAAGGCTCTATCTTAGGGCTCTTCCTTTTTAAATATTTTCACACTCCCCCTAAATCTGGGCATACACTGTGATTTTTTTAATCGTTGCACACAGCCACAAGTCACACTGTTATATATGACGAAACCCTGCGGTTTCTTCATATAGCTCACGATGTTTGTTCTCTCACTGTGCGACCCGACGCTCTGATGCGATCTACCTGCTCACACTCTACGTCTAAAAACCAGGTGGGTCTCAGCTCCGCAGTGAGATGGCGCTACTCGGACTCGTCTATCTGGAAGCCAACGAGTAGAAGAGGAATATGAAGCTCACTAGAGTGAAACTGGAAATTTGTGCAATTTTGTGCTGAAAGCCCTAAAAAGAAAACGCGACGGCGTATTTGGACAAAGACATGGCTGAGCAAACGTGGCTACGACGGTATGTCAATTTTACAGAAACATCTCCATTTCACTCATTGCACCACCGCCATGCTGCTGGGTTTTCCTCTGAGAGGAAGAAGAAGAAGAATCCTTGTTTGCCCACTGAGCGATTTGCCTGCGACTGCCTTACGACGGCCGACTGAAAATCAAACATGTTTGATTTTCTCCAGACCTTATGATTCCTGATGGGGAGGTGGTCGTTAGAGGCTGATCGCAAAATTCTTGCGAGACTGGAAAGTCAGCCCAAAAAGGCCAAAGAAATGGTACAGTGTACGCCCAGCTTTACTTAGATCTTATTACACTACAACATCATTACCATGTCATATCATCACAGGATCAGATAATACACAGATGATGCTGTGATTTATTTTTGTAACTGGGAGGGGTTGAGTATTAACCAGAGCTAGAAAACAGTGGCTGCTGTTGTGGATAAAAACCTGGTGGTTCTAAAAGAGTCCCTTCAACAAGCTTCCTTTAGGCTGTTGTTGAATTCCTGTAGGTTTTATCATCGGCAGAACCTGTCCTCCATGATGGAGCACTTACCTTCAGTCTTGATCTTGAGCGCGGTGCGAACCAGAGCGAAGAGCGTGGCGTTAAAGGTCACCATCCCATCAGCATTCAGAGGCATGTTCATGGCTACCAGGCGCTGAGGGGGAGAGGAAGAGGAGGGGTGAGGTTCTCACCTTCTCTGCCTGGTCTGGGTTGTAGTATACAGAGCGGTTCTGCTCTGAGGACCTTCACGACATCGTCCCTGAACACCTGTCTGGATAGACTGTTTTTATCTAATAAAGAAGATCTGAGAACATGGAAATAATCCATCGAGTTTATGATTAGGTCAAACTTTTCTGGGTTATCTCTCATGAATGCGGCTGAAGGGGCTGAAGATAAACTTTTATGTCTGAACCACCGAGACTGGTTCTACAATCCAGGTTCTCAT